CCAAGTGAAATGTTCTCTTCTCCTAATGCAAGAGTAAAGTGAGCTACCAGAAGAGAGCTTACACCAAGCTTAAAGTAATGCCTATGTACAAAACCATCATGCTCTAGAAATACAGTGGTGAGGCAGTGGCAACACAGGGAGAGGTAAGGTGCTTTAAGGGTTTGCTGAAAGGGGACATATATCATGGGAAGCGGTTATTTCTCTGTGTTATTGAACCACAGATCTGATTTACTAAAATGTAGGCACCAACCACAGAACAAAAGGTAAGATGGGAGGCACTGCTGCCAGGCCCTCGGGAGGGAGCCTCAGATGATAGAGGGTGAGCCCCAACTTTCCCCAAGGCCAGAAGGCAGCCACCAAATTTCATCAGTGTCTCCAGCAGGAAGTCTATGGAAGACGGAGATGTGACAGTTCAGCTGCAGTCCACTCCAGATAAATAACGCCTCCCCTTCAGCAAACATTTCCACAAAGGTAAATAAGCTGTAACCAGGGTGTTGATCCATCACCAAAAGCGTTTGTTAGCTTACATTTCTGATTTCAGCTTAATTCCTGGTGGGTGGGTGTCTCCTTCTAAACTAGGAGACAACTTTCAGCAACCTGAAATTTCTCTCAACTGAAAATATTGGTGTTGCTCTCTCACCCTTCAGTCCCAGACCAGTATTATCTGCTGCTGTTTCTTCTAAAGCGGTCAATGTGTAACTAAATATAATTCAAGGAAGAAGCCTGTGTAGAAAAACTAATACCATAGCACGGCCCATACAAATTAAGATGCGACTTTTAGAAAGTTTAAATTATGTGTTAGTGCCGTCACTAGCAAGAACAACAACAACAAAAAAAAATTACAAAAACAAGCAAACAAAAAAATATATTACAAATGATTGAAGTGTGAACCCGTATGATGCGCTTTGGTAACCCATCAATGCAGTGTTTCTACTATATTAAAAAATCAAATTATTAAGTGTATTCTAAATCAGTCAGTCACTTCAAGGTACATGACTATCACAATTATTGAAAAAGGCCTTGATCCTGAAAACATTTATGTCTGTGAATTTTTAGACAAGTGAATAGTCTTTGTAGGACTGACCTCTTGCTTTACGTTGTTCACACATATGAACTTGCATGCACGATCAGAGACTAAGGCAGGAATACACATTTACAAGCTATCAGCATTTTACCTAAAATGTCTCTTAAAACAGATTCAAAGTCATTACCAGCTGTTTCTTATTTAAAGCTTAAGAAATAAATGCCTGTTAATATCAGTGTAACAGCACAGGTAGTTTATGCACGGAAGTAATGTGCCTGAAGTTTTCATCCATTCAGCCTTCAGTTTGGAAAAATAAAAAATAAAATTGACCTAAAAAGTCAGCTGAAGACCAACAAGATCGTTTGTACTCGTATCAGCCCTTTAGCATTAGAAACACTGCAGCTATGAGAAATTGCAGTGATAGCATGAATAAAACATCACAGATTTTATTGCGTAATATATTTTATAAGGCCAAAAGTTACATCTAATCAGCAACAGCAGCCTTGGATCTTTATGAATTCATGGTTATTCTACATCTGTAAGAAGGAAAATAGTACATATGCTCAAAAATTCAAGAGTTATATATATGTGTATATATATTTCAACCCATATATATTTTTTCCAGCTGTATATATTTGAACAAATGGGCAGCTTTCGAGTGATCACGCTCTGAAATAAGCGGTGCTTTTGTTTGTGCATTCCCAGATTAATGTGTACTCTGATAAATGCGTGAAATGTTATCACTAAGCCATGCAGCTCTCTGGACCCACCACAAATATATTACATCTGTTTAGCTGGAAATAACAGGGTACTGAATACAAACAGTCTGCTGCCTTCTACCTACTTATCACTCCTCTATTTCAATCCTTTTTCTTTGCCCTTGCCCCTGTGTCTTAGCAAGTGACACATTCCCCACTGGAGACCACATTCATGACAAGTTCTAATACCCAAACGAAAAACTTGTGTCCATTCTGCACAGAAACAGTACCTGGAAATCATACTTCCATGCAAAATCCTTTTTTCTGCTTTTCTCAATACACACACATTCTTTTTTTGTATCACAGCAATTTTAAAATTGTCCTATGCAATTTAAACAAGATTTCCAAAAACAGTAACCTTTTGCAGGGATAAATCAGAGCATTTCCAGTTGACAAAGTAATTTGCGAAGGACACACATAGCACCTGAAAAGACAGACTGCGAAGAAAACCATTTTAACTATAGCAACAGCACTCGCTGCATAATGTTATAAGGAAAATTATACAGTTAGGTCTCTTATCAGACTTATGAAAATTCAGATTTATGCCAGTTGGGGAGGGGGGGGCAGAGAGGAAATCATTGTTCACCACATCTCCCTTGAGCACTACCTAGGGGAGGGGAGTGATGACCAGACAGCGAAAATTAAGCAGAACATGTCCCACCTTACGCCTATTCTGCCAATCTGTCACGGTTGTTCTTCTAGCTCCATAGGTTTACATCATTTTTTTTCCTATTTTTTTTTCTTTTTGCTGACAAGTAATACAAGACAGATTCTTGCCTTCTTAGGATCTTGCAATCTAGTTTAGACATAGCACGTCAAGTGGTGATGAAAGAAGGTTAGGGTGGGTTTGAAAAGATGAGGATTCCAACAGTAAACGATGCAGAGACATCAGTTTGGTAATGTACACATGTTTTGCATGATTCATTGGACCAAAATGGCCAAAGGAACTTAAAAAGCTGTCAAAGGCATCTTTACCTCTGACCTACCTAGTCATCCATCTGCTTCCTCATACTGTCAATCAAAACCCTCCCATCCTTATCACTATTCTATTACACACATTTTCCACAACCATTTCTCCTCCAGCTCTTAAAAAATATCTTAGCAAACATTTCAATCAGTCATTAAAAACCTTGTTAAAATATGCAATGTGTCATCAAATATGCATAGCATACTCGTGCAAAATCTGCACAGCGTAAATCACTGTATTACATTTGCTATAGTATTAATGTAAAACGTGGTAGAAAGTATTACCGGTAAGAACTTGGAATTACTTGCTACACATCGGAGCCTGATTTTCTGTTATATCAAATAAAGCAAAGAAAGAGCAATGGAATAGATTATTTTACACAATCATTATATTAAAAGCCTGTTCAGCATGCCTAGAATAATTGTACAAATTATACTTCATGTAAAATTCATGCAATTAGTTGCTGTTTTAACAAATTCATACAGGGGGGTTTGCTTTGACTAAACCAAGCGCACCACAAGGCTACCATCATTTCCATGTACCGGGTCAAAACCTGCACGTTCGATTCCAGGTGAACGCAAACATTTGAATGTGTCAGTAAACATGTGGTTATCAGACATACAGGTGCACCTCTGATAGTCATCTAAAAAATTAGAATAGTAATAAAGTGACCTACCGATAGGAAATAGCCTTTTTTTACTTCTGCAGCCCTTATCTCTTCCAGTGTCTCGCAGAAATAGTTACGAAATTACCCTGTCGAAATAGTTATGGAATAACAACCACACACAGAGGATTTTGTTCAGACCTGTCACACGTTACGTATTTATTCCACACCTGCTGGGTAACCCCTGCAGAACACGACCCAGCAAAACCACTTCTGACCAGGGCTACCCGCGGTGACCGTCCGCCTCTGCAGTGGGCTCCCCTCGGGAATGTCGTCGGGTCTCTGTCCGGTCCCTTGGCCCTCTCGGGGGGTAATGCATTGGGACGGGTAGCGGCGGAGGGTGGCGGGGGGGGGGAAGGAAACGTGAGGACGGGTTTTGGTGGCCGAGAGCGGGAAGGAGGGCCGAGAACATTTAATTTCCTATAGCCTCGCAGCCCGGGAGGGAGCCGGGCCAGCCCCTCTCCTCGCCGCTGAGGGGGCAGCCGGGTCCGCGGGAGGCGGAGAGTTGTGGGCGAAGAGTGGGGCGACGCGGGCGGTGCCACGGCCCGGACCCGCCACTCGGTGAGAGGCGGATGGGAAGGGCGCGCACCTCCACCGCCCCGGCTGCCCGAGTTTCTTGAGGGGCCCTCAGCCCCTCGACGGCCTGGTCTGCCCCTCCCGAGGAATGCGGCCCCTTTTCGGCAGACGGGTCCTGCCGCTTGAGGGCCGAGTTGCCCTCGGCCCCCACCGCCGCCTCGGGGACAGCACCGTGGGCCCGGCGGCAACCTCAGGGGAGGTACCGGCCCGAAGGCCGCCGCTGCCGTCGCCACAGGCCCGCTGCAGCCGGCGGAGGCGCTGGGGCCGCAGGGACGCCTCTCAGGTCGAACCCCGCACCTTGTGGAGGAGACGGGGGATAATGCAGAGAAGCTCCTCAGGTGTCCCCTGTCAACACCGAGACAAGACAAAACCCCCGTGGCGGCTCCTCACCCGCGCTTACCCCGGTGACGGATCAAGACTAAAACTGGCTTTTTTACCCCAAATATCCGCGCACCTCGAGCCATGCAGGTGCCGGGGGATGACGTCTCTACTAAAGCCTATGGGTACGTGTTTTTTAAAGGGGGAGAGCGTCCCTCGAAGGCCGGCAGAGAAGGAGGTGGTGCCGCGGGAGCAGGGGCTTCTCTGCCGCTCCTCTGCTCCGCGCCCCCAGAGAGCCCGGCCTGGCCCTTCGCTGCGCCCCCGTCCCGGGAGAGCTGCCGGTGGGCAGCGCTGCGCCCCTCTGCTCTGCTCCGCTCCGCCAACGGGGCGGCTCCCCCGCAGCAGGGAACCTCTGCCGCCTCCAAAGTGCTGTTAGGGGGTTTAAGAGTCAAAGACGCATAATTACAAACATCTAAAACCCGAAGGGGTTTTATCTCCCGATGTCTCCGACTGCAAATCTCCATGCCTGGCCATGCGGTGCGTAAACTCTCCCCTATGTCCCCTTTTCACCTGCCCTAAAAAAAAAAAAAAAAAAAAAAAAGAAAAAGACGAAGCTGGGGGGCAGCTAAGGCAGAACTGGCGTCGCCCAACTTGGGACGTGCAGAACGGCAAAGTGCTCTCCGACACGGCGTGAACGTTTTGCCAGGTTTATTTTACTTGTTATACACAGACGATACAAACGGGCAAAAACCGAAACATTTCTCAATGGAGCATGTACTGGTATAAATTATTCAGTTCCACAGACGTAACAGAACAAATATAAAAATCACAACATTCGATTTACAGAAGAGTCAAAAATATACACACGTTTATGACCCTGAATTTCTATTAGGAAATTTCCCCGTCGAGTGTAATCTAAACTGAATATTTAGCCTGATGCATATTTCAGTTTGTAATTGTGTTGGTTTTTTTTTTTTTCCTCTATATAAAAATGCGTTAATTGTATAGATTTGCTACTCAAAATTCGAAGACTTACTATTCTGCTTCGCCGGGGGGACAGACCTGGAGGGATATTAGTTCCTTCATGAAATTAGTAACAGGTTTACAGGAAAGATCGCTCTTACTTTTGATGTGCATTTGATTCCCCAGGAAGTCAGATCTCGGTTAGCTACTTTATGAAAAAGTCAATTCCAAAACTAAATGCAGTAAAATATACAACTCACAATTCATCTTCACTGGACTACACTATGGTTACCAACAATTCAGTCGTCTATATCTTTTTTTTTTCTTTTTTTTCCCTTTTTTTTCTTTTTTTTTTTTTTTAAGATTATTCATTACAAAGATTTACAGCAATATAAAGAAAGAGGGGAAAACTGCAAAGAAATTTGAAAAGAGTTTGTCAGCATATTTGGCACCTGCAGGGACCAGTAATGGATTTGGCACTTGGGGGCGGGGGGGAGGGGGAGGAGGAATACCACAAAAATAATAATATTGCTGATGTCGAGCTATTCCTTTTAAAGAAAAAATACAGAGGCAGTTAATTTTGCTTTTGGAAGGCGTCATGCTACTTTAATCGACTTTCCTACGAGACGTATTTCTGTTCTTTTGAAGGGAAAGCTGAGCTATTCTTTAGCTGTGTTAGCCCAGGGCACGGCGTAATTATTTCATGCGAAGAATTGCAGAGAAAGTGAGAAACCCATTACTCGCTGCCGCAGCTACGGGCCCGCTCTGCACTTCCAGAGGCATTTAGAAAGAGTGTTTACCGGGGGGGGGGGGGGGGGGAAGGTTGCTGCGAGGAGGGGACACGGGGAGAAGGAGCAAAGGTGGAGGGAGAAATTTAAACAGGATCTAAGTTTTGTGACTTAACGATGAAAACAAAAAGAAAATTCAAACAAATAAGAAAGCAACAGAACCAAAGAAAAGTAGTCGGTTACAATAAATTAAGTACTATGTACAGGCATTTCACAGGCTCTTTTCCCCCACTATTACTGTTATCCCCTAGTATCCATCCGTGGTAAAAGGAAGGAAGCGCTGTACGGTTTGAGAGTCTAAGCATCCTACTTATCAGTGGGTTTCGGAGCAGCGGTGCCCCCCGCGCCCCCGGGCCGGGCCGGGCCGGGCCAGGAGCGGGGCGGGGAGACGGCGGCAGCCGCGGCTCTGCCTCCCTGCGTGCCTGCGGGCCGGGCCGGGGACACGGATGGGCAGCTAGGGGCGGGGGTCAGTGCGCTAACGCGGAGGAGTTATTGTGCAAAAGGACGGCGGGGCCGGGCGGCCGCGCCTAGCTGTGCGAGTAGAAGCCGTAGTAGCCGATGTCCTTGGCGCAGGTCTTTTCGCAGTCCCGCTGGGTGAGCACCTCGCTCTTGAGGGGCGAGGAGCTCTCGGACACCGGGGTGTCCGACGGGGAGATCCGTCTCCTTTTGGCCTGCTCGTAAATCCCAGAATCGGTGGAGTCGATGGACTTAATGGACGACGGCGTCTCGATCCAGCTGGAGTCGGACAAATCTTTGGGCTTGGAGTCCTCTGTGCCCGGCAAGGGGGACCGCTCTGGGGCCAGGCTCTCCGCCTCCTCCCCCAGGTAGGGGTTCCCGGCGGCCATGCGCGCAGCCGCCGCGCTGTTAGGCCAGCAGGAGAGCACGGAGCCGGATTTGCTGCAGTACTGCGGGGGGCTGCGGGCCCCCCAGCCAGAGGGGTCGGCGTAGTAGCCCAGCGGTCGCCCGGCGCAGCCGGCAGCCTGCAGCGGCAGTGCCTTGACGCCGGCGGCCGCGTAGGAAAGCAGCGTGGCCGCGTTGCCGGCGAAGTCGGTGGCCGTGTCGTAGGCGGAGGCGGCGAAGTCGAGGCGGTTGTTGGCGGGCGCGACGAACCAACGCTGCGGCGAAGGGGCCCCCGGGTCCTCGGCTTGCTGTGGGGAGAGCAGCCCGTTGGTGTGGGGCACGCTGCGGTCGGCGCCGGGCCCCGGGCCGGCTCCTGCCCCGGGGTGGAAGCGGGACTTGGCGTAGTTACTCACGAACTGGTCCTGGAGGAAGGAGCCGGCCATGGCGTAGCGGGCCCCGGGCACAATTTGAGAGCGGGGTGAGTCGTTGGGGGAAGGTGTCAGCCGGTCCATGTCGCAGCCCGTGTAGATCCTGCCCAAGAGAAGGGGAGAGAGCTGGGTGTCCGCCGCAGCCCGCCGCCTTCCTCGGGGCGGCAACCGGACTACTGCAGCCCTCTGGGAGAGACGGGAAGGGACCGAACGGGCCGGCGGCCGCCTCAGCGCGCTCCTGTGCTGCCCGCGGCCTGCGCTCAGCTCCGGCCTCGGTCTGCGGCGCTGGGAGCGCCAAGGGCCTTAATAGGGAAGGGGCAGGGAAGGCACGAAGAGCGCACTTTCTGGGACCGATTGGCCATTCATTGACGGGTGAGAGATCTCTTGCTCCTGCCCGAAACCGGCGTGAAAACCCGAGCGGTGACACATTGACCGCTCCCGCCATATGCGCACCAGGCAACGCGGTCATTTGCAGCGAACAGCGTGAATGGCAGACTACGGAATTCTATCGGCTGTTTATCACTTATTGGGAGTCTCAGACGAACCATCAACATTATACCGAGTTTAAATTAAACACCTACTTGAAGGAAATGTAAAACCAGACACATCCAGTGTTCCCTGCGTGGCCTATATATAATTCTCCCATGCTGGGCTGCAATTTGCGATTATAAAAACTTTAATGGATGAATAACTACTATCTGTATTTAATTCAGGCTAAAACTGTGCTTTAATTAACCCTCCACGCCTCCTGGAATTTCTTATCCAAAATAAACTTGGCCCTTAAACAAATTCAACGTGCTAGACAACATTGAAGCTTCCCCCTCCCCCCGTCTCCTTTCAAGTGACTCCCTGTAAAGGTTTTTTTCCTATTAAAAAGGGAAAAGCAATGGCAGCTGGGGGCGAAGGCCATGCAGCCTTCCTAAAGGCCGCGCATCTTTCCTGCAGAGCTTCCAAGAGAGCAGCCATGCCCTGCGTCCGCCCTTCATGACACGGGAAGGGACCGAAGCTCCCCTCCCACCGCCGCGACCCCCGCCCGTAGGGGACAGCGCCTGCATCACCAGCCTCTCCCAGGGGAGAGTCTGTGCTCGGCTCCGGGCCCCCCTCACACTAGTTCAGGCCTCGGTATCGTTTCTACCCTTGGACTGAAATCCTGCTGCTGGGGGATGCTGGGCCGCCGTCGGAGGTCAGGGAGCTTTAAGCAGGCGAGGAAGTTACGCGCAGGCTTAAGCACTCCCAGGGAGTTGAGAGAGTCGAAAGGAGATTTCCCTCTCAAAACCGAGGCTTACAGAGGGGCAGGTTAGCTCAGAAGCCGGTCAGACTGGCTGCCCTGGCTCGCCGCCTCCCGCCGGCCCATCTGGGCAGACCCTGCAGGCGGGCGGCCCCGGGCCGGGTGTCCCGGCGAGCTGGGGAGTCGGGGTCTGGTGCCCCTCTAACGGCCTTAGGGGCGGCATCAGCCACAGGTCCCAGAGGGACACTGTTCGGTGGGTCTGGCGGCTGGGCCTGAGCGGGGACAAACCGCGACCAAAAATCTTCGGAGGCCCTAGCTCCACCCTGAACGGGGGGAGAGGGTGGGGTAAAAAATATAAATTCCAACCGCAGAGAAGAACAAAACAAGACGAAACAACTTTTCTCCGGACGCGGGTTCTGTGGACCCCGGGATTACCCGAACCCTGAGGGTTACTCGGTGACTGAGCCCGGTTTTGCCCGGGTGCCTCTTTCGGAGCCTTTGCGTGCAGGTGAAACAGAAACTTGGTCAGGGTCGCAAAAATGCGTGCCAGGAAACACCAGCAACAAAACCGCCAAAGTGCAAAAGCGAGATGTGGGTGCGGGCAGCACAGCCCCAGGCGTGGAGGTGAGCGCAGGCTGCGCAGGACTGCGCGGAGCGCTGCCGCAGGAACACCCTCTCCGCGGCCCTGCCAGGGCAGCCTGCGGGTGCCTCCCTCCCGGAGGGCTCTGGAAAAGCCCAACACGGCGCGTTTTCGGTGTGAAACGAAGCCAGCCTGCATCCCAAAGCTTTTCCCTGACGTGTGTGCAGCGGAAGAAGGGAAATAAATCCTCTTTACTTACGTGTCATAATTGTCTCTGAAACCTTTTGCGAAAGGATTGTGGTCTATTTTCAGCTGTGTGATCTAAGGAAAGAAAGGACCAGAGTTGTGAAAGCCTGAAAAATACATCCTACTGCAGCCAACACATTTTTAAAGTCAATCTTTAAACCAGTCGGTCGAATTGCCTTTAAAACGTGAAAAATAAAGATCTGGCATGCTTGTACATATCAGGGTCTAATTTTAAGATGTATTTTATTGGAAAAAGTACGGCAAAAAATATTTAACCCCATGTTTTGAGATGTGTCAGTATTGCTACTGCATGGGTATGAATATATTTAAATCCAGAAATTAGGCAGACCGTACCGCAGAACGGTAGCTAGAGTTTACATTTGCATCGAGCAAAATAATTGAAGCGAGAATGTGGACTGAACATATGTCAGTTGAAAAAGGGGACACCAGTCTGTAGCAAAGCCAGACCACTCCGAAACGTAGCCAGGCATTAACGAGCTTTTAATTTGAGGAAGTTGCTCCGTCACCCCCGGCGCAATCAATGAGGTTGTTAATTGATCTTTGCAGGCTTAAAGCTTAAGCTAACAGCTAACTGAGCTGTTTCCGACTGGAAGAGAAGTGCGGCGAATGAACGCCCAGCTCCGGGCGGAGCGGCAACACTGGTGCAGGGCACCCGAGGCAGGCGCGGGCAGCTCCTGCCGCGCTCGGCGCTCAGCAGCCCCGACCAGGGCAGGGTGGCACAAAGGGGCAGATAGGGATCCCCATCTCCCGGCGCCGCAGACCCGAGGGGGAAGTGCCACGGCCTCGGTGGCCTCGGCGGGATGCGCTGCAGAGAGCGCAGGAGACCGCGAGAGGAATAAACCCGGGAGCTCTTTACATCGGTGTTTTGGTAGGCGGTGACCGCTATGAACTGCGTCTCGGGGAAGGTGAAGGTCTGCACTCTGCCCGGCTGGTTGGTATCCTCCGTCCCGTCTTCGTTCACCTCCACCACATGCAAGCGTGGCTGGTACTTGTGGAGGGACTGCAAAACCACCATCTGTCGGGCAGAGGAAAAGCAGGGAGGGGGCCGAGGGCAGAGGAGGAAATTAGAGCAAGAAGGATGGGGAGCGTGATGCCCGCAGGCAACGGGACCCCGCTGCTACCTCCCCGGGCCGCCTGCGGCTCCCCCGGCCAAGCCGGGCCCACTCGGGCGACGCGCTCAGGATCAGCGAGACCCGTGGCAAAATTAACGGGAGGGCTCCCCACCCCCCACCCACCCCCCCCTTTTACTGTCACCTAACTACACGATCTAAAGAAATACACGTTCTTTCCGTAACTGTAGGATTTTGCCTGAAGCAATAAAAATAAGCCTGGCAGAGCGGCTGCGTCTTCCCCACTAACCTGCCCGTTGTTGTTTGATGCTCCTTTATTGTTTGTAAGTTTTAGCTTCCCAAAGGAGATTTCCTGGCGCATCCAGTGGGCTCCCGTGTTGGGGGAGTCGGGGTGCATGTACACCCGGTTTCCTAAGCAAAACAGCGAAATACAACCACATCACAGCTCTCGCGGACACCCCGGTTCTGCCACCGCAGCAGCACACGAGGTCGAAGGATCCCGTTAAGCCAGCGGCATTTTACTGTCAAAACCCCATTTATTTTCACTGCGGACTAAACCAGCGTTTTCCGAACACCTCTTACTTTCTTTTCCACCCTCCTTTTTTTTTTTTCTCCAAAAAAAAAATCATTGGCTCATTCGCGTTTAAGAAGTCGCCAGAGCCAGTCCACAAAGGCTTTAATTAATCATTCTCACCTACATATGTGTCGGGAAAAGTGTTAATTGGAGGAACTTGCCTTGTACATTGGTGTCCGCCTTGCCGCAAGGAACCCATTTGCCTCCTTGAAATCTCCAGTGGTTTGGATCCGCCAAAATTACATCCACAAAAATATTGTAGTGAGCCGTGGGGTCGAGACCAGAAATATTAAAACTCAGGAAAGGGAACATGCGCCTATAAAAAAGGAAAGGGGAAAATGAAATATAATAAAGGGAAGGAGGGAAGCAAGCCCCCGGCAGCGATAGGCACACGCGGCGGAGCCAGCCCGTTGTGTTTTTATTCTCACGGCTCCCGGTAGCGACAGGGAGATAAAAATCAAACTCCCTCCCCGAAACGTCGAGCTTTCCGCGGGCAAGGGACGAGGGCAGCGCGGACCCGCGGGAACGCTGCCCCGGCGGGGACCGGCACCGGCGCTGCCGGCTCCCGGCGCCCGGCTCAGGGGCCCCGGCGGGCGGGCGGGCGGCTCCCTCGGGGCGGTGGAGGCTCCGGGCGGCTCCCCCGGCGGAGCCTGCAGCTCAGCCCCGACCCCCGGCGAGGCGAGGGTCCGCGCGGTGGCTTACCTCCCCTGCTTCGTGATGATCATCTCCGTCTGGTGCCGGTGAAATTTCAGCCAGAGTGGCCTGTTGCACAGGTAGACCTGAGCCTTACCGGGAACCAGCCCCGGCTGGGTGGAGGAGAACTGGTAGAAAGGTGCCCCTTGGTAGGAATGACCATACTGCTGGGGGTACGGGTAGCCCGCCGTGGGGTAACCTTGTGGAGAAGAGTTGGACAGGAGGCTGTTGTAAGCTCCGTTGGTGATCACAGGATGGTGAGCCATGTAGCGGCTGGGGCTGGCGATGGAGAAGGCTGGGTGAGCAGGTCCATGCTGGCTGGGGTAAGGGAACATGGTACTAGGAGCAGAAGCAGCAGACTGGGGCTGGCTGGACTGAGAGAGCAGATAGCGATCTGCAGCAGATCCATCGAAACTGTGACGAAGCTCAGAGACCCCGTCCAAGACGGGAGAGAGTTTATTTCTCTGGACGTCCCCTGGTGTGTCCTTGGAGTCAGGAAAATTGTCTGTATCTGACTGATTCGTCATCCCCCTGGTAATTTTTTTCAAAGGTGAACTTCTCTCCAGGTTGTCAGTGGTCGAGATAATGGGATGATCATGCAAGGCAAGCTCAGATCCGCCTGCATGTGGGTAACTGCTGCTCACATTGAGAAATTTCTTGGAGAGCATGATAGAGGGAGAAAGACAATGCTCCAGCTGCATAGCTCTAGCACCACAGTAATAACCCTTCAGTCCCTGGATCTGAAAGGGCTCCTCAGTATCAGAAGCTAGACATCCTGGGACCCTCGCTAGGCAGAAAGCAGCACTTCATCCACCAAATGCTTCCCAAACGTTTGATTTACTTTTTTTTTTTTTTTTTTTTTTTTTCCCTTCCCTGGGAGAAGAGATTGGCCAATTGACACTATGCAGCAATCAGGAAAGACTCACTTTTGATCTCGCTGCTTGTGGAGAGGATGAAACGGCTTCTGCCATTGGTTAACCGCTGACAGTAATTTAATTAGATAGACATTAATTAGGATAATCACCTGGCTCCTGGTCGCGACGATCATGGCAAATTGAAGGAGATGATTTTATTGTGAGATAGAAGGAAGGGGGAAGGGAAGAATGTGTTTGCTGTAAGTGCTCATTATTATGTGACCTTTCCAGATTTTTAATTTTTTTTTTCACTACGACTGGAAAATAAATCCAAACCCCTGCGATTCCCCAAATGTGCGCTGGTGTCCCCTGCCTTTGTGTGCTAGGGAGGGGACGTGGGCCGGGGACTTCGGGGACGGGCACGGGGGGAGTGCAGAGCCGGGCCGGGGGCCGCTGCCATCCGCTCACCTCCGCGAGCTGCCTCCCCTTCGGGGCCAACCTCCCCCCCCCCTTCCCACCCGTGCCTGCTTCGCGGGGGAAAATGCACAGCTGAAAGCGGTCGCCCATCATCTCTTTTAAGTTCTGAAATAATCGTAAGCCCCGCAAACGAAGTGCCCTAATGTATTTGCCGCGGTGTTTACGGGTTCTTTAGTATATGAATATTTTATCTGGGAGCCGTAATGCCAGAGATTACCAGCAAAGCAGGGTGGAAGGCATCCACCTACCCACCCGGCGCCCGGTTCCTCTCCCCTCGCTGCCTGCTCTCCCTCCGTGACTCAGTCCCGCAGGCAGCGCCGGGCGGGAGCGCTGCTTCTGCAGCACCGTTTGTAGTGAGCCATGAGCTGCCTCGCCCGCGGCTCGGCCGGCGAGGCCAGGGCGGGACCGGAGAAGCCCAAACCACAGCAGTGCTGCGGTATCAGCCACCGGCCCCCTCAGCCCGGGGCGCCCCGCAAGAGCCGGCCTCTGGACCCGAGCCCCGGCTGCGCCCGCCCGGGACCCTGTCAGCTGGAGGGACCGGCCAGCGGGTCCGTTTGAGCCTCGGGCTAATTGGAAGCAGGACCCTCCGAGACGTGAAGATGCACCTGAGGAGCTCAGGGGACGCGCTTGCCACTCCGCCTCTGCCAGGCACCAGTCCCAGTTTCCATTCTAGGCACACTTGTGACTTCTTAAAAGCCCCGTTTTTTTGCCCAGGGAGGAGCTCTCCCGTTCCATTTTTCTTGGTATTTTCCCCTTAGCGGTTTGGACTACAGGTATTTTACAGACCACATTTCTTTCCATGTGACATCAGCAGCCAGCTTCAAATTCCACCCGTAACAGAGCCTAGACCATTGCATAACAAACCCAAGACCAGTGTATAATCATCCGAAGCCAGGCTGAAACTTTGCAAACTCATATCCAGACAAGAACAGAAACAGCATGACTTGTGATAACATGTATTTCAACACTCTGAAAGTCCACAGCCATTTATTTTTCCATTGCTTAGCCGTGAGCTAGTTTGGTTATTTGGTGTTTCACAGAAGCCAGCATACATACACTCTCTGCAAGAAAATTATTCTAATAAAATAATTTATGAGGCCAAAAGCAAGCAGTTCACCGTTTTACACACAGTTGGGTGGTACAACACATGCAACTTTACATGCTACACCTTTTCCTTTTGGTGCTAAGAAAATAGTTTTATTAGTAGAAGTTCTAACTGGTGGCTCTAGCACTTGTTTCACCAGTGTGCTCACCCTCCCCTTTCCTTGCTTGAAACCTATGGAAAGGTAATGGACTTTTATAGGCAGGAGATGGGTCGAAGCAGATAAACCCGAGGAAACGCTGCCCTGAATTTCAGAGCTACACCCATATAGATGCAGAGCTGCAATGAATTCAGTGGTATACTGCCAATCACATGGAAGTGCTAATATATGCCAAAAATCTTCAGTGCACAACTCCTAAACTGGTATAATAGGGGGAAATGCCGTGGCAGGTGGTGTTATAGAATCGTCATAGAAAGAGGGAGAGAGGTTTGCTAATACAATATGCCCATCCTTCATGATGACAGGTGACGAGGGGTCAAGCTGCTAATGAAGGTCTGCTCCGTTGCGGCTGGAGGCTCAGAAGGTGGCTGCTTGAAAACCTCTTTCTTCTTCCAAGATGGTATATGGACTGCTGCGTTTCAGGTTACTGCATGTACACGTTCTTCCAAATCCTCTGTGCTGCTCCCAAAGCACTGGACAAAAACGAGGAGAGATGCCCCCAAAAACCCAGCCTTTTGATTATTCATGAAACATCTCAGTAAATGGAAAATTGCGCCTTCAATTCAAACTGAGGAGTGGATCGAAAGCAGGGTACCACAGCACAAGCTCATTCTACAGGAGACACACATCCCCAACAGTCTCCTTTCAGCTACCCTCTGCAAGATGTAGTTGTCAAAATTAATTTAGAATATGCAAGACTGGCTGTTTGTCTCCCTGCTTACACTGGCCTTTCAGGCATGTACACACTGCAGCACTGCGATAGCTCCTCTCCTGTTCTGCAGTACCATGTTACCCCACGACCTGCCAAACTGCGTCTCCCTCGTGGTGCTACACGTGCGTGTGGGAGTAGGGAGTGGCAGGGATGCAGAGCCCCGCGGGCAGATGAGCCTGGGGCACGTCCCCCCATGATCTCCTGCCCCATTTCACCCTGGGGTGCACACATGGGACAACGGCGAGGCCCAAATACAGCGTCCTCGACGATATGCAGGTTTTCAGTGAGCATCACCAGGAAGCACTTCCATTTGACTGTATGCTGGCAAATGTGGTTTGGTTTGTCTCCATTTTCCCAGCCTGATATTCTACTGCCTACTGTGGGGGCAGAGGGAAGGCCATAAGGAGGGCAGCTGCAAAAATCTGCATGTTCCCCTCTGAAGTTAGTGCATGCTAAATATACTTTGAGAGAGTGTTATTCTAAAATAGTAAATTAAAAAGCCTAAATAAGAAATTCCAAACAAAAGAAAAACCTTTCAATGGGAATAAGCAAGTAAATAGAAAATTACTGGGCACAAAATGGAAAACAAGACAATTGTATGGGTTATTTCTTTACTATCAAGTAAGAAGTAAAATAAATTGGAAAAAAAAAAATAAAAATCTTCAACACCAAAAGATGGATCTAGTTTTAAATATTTGCCTGCCACAACTGTTGCCATTTACTTAAAAAAAAAAAAACAACAAAGCAGTGAACAAAATATTGTGACACAGGAAGAGAACACTTATGCCCAGACAAAACAATCAAATCAACCTCAGTACCACCCAATACTTACACAAAAAAACCTAACCGGGTCCCCTGCATAAAATCCAAAATCACTCCCAAGCCCAGGTTTTTGGCTTTGCCTGCTTAAAATGAAGCAGCCAGCTCACATGCCTTCTTGCAAGTTTTCCCTCTAGTCAGTGGAAATGGTTTTAAATGTTGTATTCCATTTGGGACTCTTTCCATATATTTTCATATATGGACATCTTGTGTACGTTCTCTTTCACAGGAGGGAGGGTTCATATAATCTAGAACAGCTTCTATCACTTTAATGTTTATTCTCAGAATACTGCTATTTATGACACCATTTGTGAAAGTTGTGTGATTCAGTTATCAGCATAACTGAATTCATTTTCTTAAGGTCAATTGTCTTCTGCGAATATGAGGGCTTGAATAATATTGAAAGGGAGCTGGCAGGGGAATTTTCAGCATTTTGGGTTTTGTACATCCTCCAAATTCAGCGCTATGACAATTTTGATTTTATGATTTTTTTTTTAATCTCTATGTGAGTATCTGGCAATCAATGGGAACCAAATTTCATTAGAGAATTTTTGCTGTCCTAGCAATTCAGCTCAGTAGTTTTACAGTGGGTAGAAATAAACCTTTACCAACATTTCTCCTACACTGTTAATTCCCACCGTCCTTTCTTCAAAAAAAGACCTTCCAGAACGTAGACAGGTTTGTAAATGTATTTTTATTATGTTGCAACAATCAAAATATATATGTACTACTGATTTTTCCCCCAAATATTAAATGAAAATGTAATACATTTTTGCCCACGTTGTGTTCTTGAATACTTTGGAATCTGTAAAGACCCTGACATAAAGAAACCGAAGAAACTGAAGCAACTGCACAATTAGAGACTGAAAGGTGTTATAGTGCTGCACTTACATTGCAAATGAAGTCAGATGTCTCTTCCATCAAATATAGCCTCAACAGTCTCTGTTTTGTGAGTATTAGAAACAATAAACAAATATACACAGAAAGCATCACAAACAGTAAATTGGTTATTTAAATACAACTGTATCCAACATAGCAGCTAAACACTGGACAATGTTTGAGGTCATCAGCACATCCACGTGCTCTTCTAAATGACGTTTGGGGTCCTGAAACACAAAGGATGCCATGAGAGAAATGAATGAAAGACATCTCTGAAAGACTTCATTTACTTCAGGTCTATTTAAGATGAGTGTGAGTTAAGGAACACAGGCCAGTAAAGCTCCTAAAATGTTTCATTCAAACAAGACCTAGCAAATGACTGAATTTCCATGAGTAAGATTTTATTAGTCCATACTAAGTTGAGAATAGGTTTAGGAAGTAAATTCCTGCCCAGCATTTGAAGAGTAACCATGACAGCTGTGATTTTTTAGGATGACACACAATATGTAGAATTTACTATACGTTTTACTAAGGCCAATATTTTAATCTCAGTTCTGGAACACTGCAGTTTGTTTTGAGATCATTGTACAAATGGGTGTTTTAATCCTGTAAAGACTAGCATGATTTAACACAGTATTTGAATAGCTGACTGCAAAAAACTTAATACTTATACCCATAAAAATTATTTTTTTTTTTAAAACACAATGCTATGTTGAAATGTTCAAAAAAAAATGAATGTTAAGCCTGAGCAGTGCTCTGAAAATACACATCCCCACACACTATTACTCAATTGATGTGGGCATTTGTGGGCATCTGCATAGAACAATAAGATTATTTCTGGTCAAAATCCATGCTCATGCACTTCTTCAGCTTCAGAATTCAGATTAAGAAATTAATCTCCAAATACTGCAAAATTACAGGCACATTAAAACCCACATCTTTAAACTTTACTGAAGTATTACTGTAGCATTCTTGTGTGTATAAAAATTAAAATATGGAAGACAATCGTGGGAATTTGAAGTTTTAAAAAAAGAATTGCTGTCAAAATCTAATGAACCTATTTAAATTCACACAAAAGTGCACTAGAAAATCTGTGTAAGCTGTCCTTCTTAAATAACTAATTTTCAAAGATCATACAGTTCTTCAATATTCTCTATGTTC